TTGCTAAATGAACCCTTTAAACCTCCAAGTCCCAGTAGCCTTCTAAAAAATGACAAAGTTGAAATAGATGGTCTCAAAATAAATTTGCAAAATGGAACAGGCAAAAGGAATTGAGTAGTGAGTGGCCCAGAATCCTAGAACTCCTTTCCCACTGCCCCATGCCCAGCCTGTTTCCTTCCCTGAGGTCTGGGTAGATAGCAACGGCCAAGAGAGGAACTCTCAGGCATGTGAGGATGTCACTGATTTGATGAGTCATTTGACAATTGCTTACATATTGCTCACCTACCAGCCCCTCCCTGAGTTGGAAGCATCAGAACTCTACTCATTAGGAGACTCTAAGACCCAAAGCTCATTCCTTGGTGGTAGCTTGTTTGTTAAAAAAAAAAAAGTTAACAGATAAGATATAAATAATAGATTACTCCATTTCAGAGAGGCTAATGGACTTTGAGAGTCCTTTCCTCCAGCTCCAACTTATGATTTGTTCAAAGCCTATTCTTCATGCCACCATTTAAGACATTCACTTGATCAGTTTCAGGTTCCAGTTCAGCTCTGACTGTCACATCTTATCTAACTTATCTTTCAGCAAGAGAAGAACTCAATTGTAAATGTGCCTTCTTGACTAGAGTTTAAAGTATCCATCCATATTCAACTGCTTTATTTTAATAAAACTGCTGTCTTGCCTGGCTATGATAGGGCCAAGATAAAAGAGAATAGTCCTAATGGAGAAAATACTACGACCTGGCATCACAAATGTGATTTACATGCTTTTGGTCTATTTTTTTCATGCCAGTATGCCCTGTACCTTGAGAAGACTCCACCCAATTGCAATGCAGTGATAAATCTGGGTTAAACAGGCAAAGAAAGGTAATTTTTTCTAGTGACAATGTCAACAATAGCCCACCTGGGGGAGGGGATGACATGGGGCCTATACACCTCAGTATTCTGCATCTTTTTTCTGGCCCCTCCAAGTCATTATTTACGTTTGTTCTTCTAAAAGAGCTATTATTCAAGCTCACTGAGTAGCCTGGCTGAACAATGAATTTAGAGGTGGCCACCTCACTTCCAAATTTTCCTTCATTATCTCTCACATATTATACTGTCTGTGATACAGTCTCTCCTTGGTTGCGGTTTATCAAATATTCTCATCTTGATTTTAATACTGATATGCTAAACTATATAACATTATTCATTAGGTGGAAAATTAAATTGAATCCTTCTGCAATATCTATTTCTTAAAGTTCACTGGGCACTTTATCTGAAATTTAGTTAAATGTTCTGTAATTCTCAAGTGCACTGGCTGGGGCCTCAGTAAAATCTCTGCCTTAGTTTAACAGTACAAGCTGCTACAAGCTGTACTGGGTCTTCAGTCTTGAGATACAATCATGGTGCAGATAATCGGTACAGTTTTCCCCTAGACATTCATTTTGGTAAAGCAGATTCAATGCCATTTATTCATTCATTCATTCATTTATTTAGCCGTGTGGCATGTGGGATCTTAGTTCCCCAACCAGGGATCAAACCCGCACCCCCTGCATTGGAAGTGTGGAGTCTTAACCACTGGACCACCAGGGAAGTCCCAATTCAATGCCTTTTAGATAGCTTATGATGCGTGTCAGCCAAGGTTCCCAAAGCCCTCAGACCCACTGAGGATTTCCCTGTTTCCCAAGACTCCTGCCTGAGTGTGGTGGCTAAACTGCAGCCAGCAGTTCCTGGGTCCGGATTCCAACTCCAGCCAGAGGCCCCCAGGATGTGAATGTACTAAAGGGCTGAGGAAGGAGCACTGAGACCAAAGGAAAGCATCCCAGAAACATCCTGGAGATGGGATCTGGCCCCTTGTCTTCCACAGTGATCGCAGACACCTCCTGAAATCCCAGACACATGATGAACCTTTTCACCAGAGCAGAGGTTCGTAAGTTGAGATCCACCAACAACTAGGGAGTCTATGGAAGCACTTCAGGGACTTTATAAACTCCCTATTAATGTATATAAAATATGTATATATATACATTATCCTGGGGAGTAGGCTTGATGGCTTTCATCAATTTTTTTTTTCAGCCGCGCTGCACAGCTTGCAAGATCTTAGTTCCCCAACCAGGGATTGAACCCGGGCCACCACAGTGAAAGCACCAAGTCCTAACCACTGGACCACCAGGGACTTCCCTATCATATATATATTTTTAATCTAGTCTATGGAAGAGCTCTGTGGAAGTCTCCAAGTTGGCATTACTGGGACAGAGAGAGGCAGTTAGGCCAATTCTGTCAGAGATGAGCCCTGAATCTCTGATATCTAGCCATATCCAATGTATGGGGCGAAACTCCAGGAATTGTCACTGAACCTGCAGAGACTCTTAATGACCATCCCAAGTATGGCCTGGTCCCTGAAGGGACTATTCATCCCTGGATATCAAAGAGACAAACCCAGGAAAGGAAAAAACATATATGCTCTGAGTCTATGGCTAGCTACATTCATCAGGGTCCCAAGCCAAGCCTCTGAAACTGACCCCTGGGCAGGAAGAGGGGAATGGGAGCCATTGAAGAGGAGCAGTCATCAGCTCAACTTGGCTCCTAAGAACCTGGGGCCAGAGGGGCTCCCTCCAACCCCTGCAGAAAGGAAGGGCTGGTGGCTACAGCCAGTCACTCTCCCTCATCTAATGCCCAAGGTCTTCCTGGATCCTGAAATAACATTGACCCTGCAAAGGGAAGGAAGACCCATAACTGGCCCAGAAAGCCAACCAGAAAATACAGTATGTGCCGTGGCAAGACACAGCCTAACCTGGAAGCTTCAGAAATGCAAGGTGTTTTGAAGCCAAGGGCTGATTTATACTCTGGTTCTCAAAGTTTAGTATGAATAAAGATCATCCTGAATGTGTGTTATATAGTGCTGATTCCTAGATCCAGGGGATTGTGATTCAATAGTTCTGGGGTAGAACCCAGGTATTTATATTTTTTAAAAGGAAACTAGTAATTCTGGTCTCAGGAGTCCATGGAGTATACCTTTAGAAAGAGAGTTTCTCTGGGTTCTAAGGCATCAGATGTGGAGAAGGGGATAGATCAAGTGAACCCTCTTTCCCAATCCCCACCATTCCCCCCACCTAAATAAAAGCAGAGCTTCCAGTTACCATTTATCAAGCCCTTCTCTGTGCCAGACACTATGCTAAATCTTTTACATGGATTATTCTATTTAATGCTTATAACCCTGAAGTTCAGGGAAAATAAGTAACTTACCTAAGATCCCTCAGCTCTGAGTACCTGAGCCAGGATTGGAACCCAGATCTGAATCCAGAGTCTGTTCTTAACCAACAAGCCCATGATTCTAGAAAGAGTCATAGTGATGACACCAAAGGAAAAGCTATGAAGCCACATCCCCTCCACAGGGTCGAGGGAGAAGGCCATGGGCCACAGGGTAAGGAGGCAACCACTGCAGGAGAGGAAGCAGACAACTGGGCAGGCTCAAAGGTCCAGAGTTGAGCCAGACAGAAGGAACTATTTATTGGATAAGGAACTATTTATGGATAAGCTGGGCTAATAAGGACTACATTCCTGGAATGCAGAAGGAACAGAGGACGGAGACGAAAAATGGTGGACAAAAGGGCTTTAAAGGAAATGACCAGCCTCAGAGAAATCAAAGAAAGCCATGGAAACTTTTGGTCAGCACAGGTCCAAGGCCCCTGCGGGTCTATGACCTCTGCTGGTTAGTACTGCATTTTACTGTTCAGTTGAGAGGGAAAATATTGAGTTCAATGCACCAGAACCAAGACCAACTTTGGAGCCCAGGATCTTTTACAGATTCTTAGATCTTCATCCTTTAAAGGGGCATAACAATAGTAGCTACCCCAGAGTTACATAGAGTAAGAAGTAAATGAGATCATTTGGATAGAGTACTTAACATAATACCAGAAACGAAGGAGTTGGACAAGCGTTAGCTGCTATAATCACTAATTACTACTAATTATGACTATACCCATGCTCACCAAAAAACCACTGTGGCATCTTGTTTATTTGTGAGAGACACAGGTCAAATGTGGTCTCTGTGGATTGAGGTTTTTCTCTCTTCAGAAAGAAGTTATTGTTAAGATGTTCTTTTCCTTTTTTACAAACAAGCAAAAAATGTCACACCGCCAAATAGATCAACAACAGATCAAAAATAATGTTTTAGACTTCCCTTCACCTTTAGTTTTGATGTTATCCAAAAAGTAACTTAATCCAACTGTTCCATCCAAATTTGTTCTGAGGGAAAGGTGAAGCAATGGGGTTCTGTGCAACTTTTCATTCAACAACTATCTTTTTGTGCATCAGAGCTGACTTTGTGACTATTAGCTGAACTCCTGATAGTTTTCAATTACCTAAGAGACACCCCAAACAAATGAACTTTATTTTCAGACAACAGATCTAAGCAAGACACCAAGAAGACTTGACAGCTGAACTGTGATGAACATATGGCTGAGTATTTCCATACCATCCAGGAACTCCTGATATTAGAAGAAAACTCCATCCTTCTACCCCCTCACCTAGCCTGTTTGCTCAGAGTGAAGAAGAACTGATGAGACAGACTTCCTGGGAAAAGGAGCATTTGGGTGGTTTGGGATAGAAAGCAATGAAGGAGACAGAAGAAACTAAGTCTCCCTATGAAGGAGGGAAAGACAGAGAATATTACAGACCAGATTAAGATCAGAGAACAAGACCAATCAGTGCCTTCAGGATAAATAAGAGACCATTCTGGCTGCTCTGATGAAAGGGTACCACCTGCCTCTGAGGAGGAAGGATAAATGTAAGAAACAGAAATATATAAGCAGCCCTCTGCCTCTATATCCTGTGTTTGATCAGTTTGAACATGCCTTTGCTCCCATTAGTCAGACCTGATGTGGCTCCTGGAGATGGTGGGCCAGGTCTATCTCAGCCACCCTCACCAGAGAACACATCCATGACAAACCCTAATTCCTAATTCCTGAACTATTCAAGTCACCCCATATTGTGGCCACTCAGGAATAGAACAAGCTTTGAAAAAAAAAATTGCATGTTTTAATTCAAGAAATAAAAGTTCACACACAATCCAAAACAGGTGTCAGGAATTTGGTCTAAACAATCAGCCACACCTGCTGCAGAAGTTCAGGCTCCACAGAATCACTTTGGCCAGTGCTTCCTGAGATGCGCTTTCAGCTGAGGAATGGAAGGCAGCAGCTGCTGGCACTCATGACAACGGAGGGGCAGCTTCAAGAGCTCACACATCCCATCTTGGACAGTCACTCTGCCAGCCTCTTGTACCATCTCAATCACAGCTGCAAGCAAGGAAATAGAGTTTAGAGCCCAGATACAAAAAAAAAGAGGAAGGAAGGAAGGAAGGGAGGGAGGGAGGGAGGGAGGAAGGAAGGAAGGAAGGAAGGAAGGAAGGAAGGAAGGAAATCTGACTCCCAATATGCCAGGTATCCTTAAAGCTAGTAAACTTGAGGTTACATTCACTATTGGGAAAATGGGCTCAGTCAGGTTCTAAATCTGAGCAACTTATTTCTGAGATGATTACATTCCTTCAGGATACACTCTAAGCAATCCATGTTACTATGTTAAAGGCTAATTATCACAGGGCTTTACCCCTAGTTAGCCCTTGGTCAATGGGAGCTGTCATCATTAACATCCCAGCATGATGAAGTTCCACAGTATACACACTGGGAAATGCTTCCTTCTGTATACACAGCCTTCCCCTGTTAAGTAACCACTCTTGACGGAAGGCAGCCCCCTAGCTGCTGGCAGAAGGAAGAAATAACTGTTTAGAGCTTTCAGATCCATGAACTCCAATAATTCTCAGGACAACCTCTGACGTCCCCCACTGTTAAACAATCATTTTTAGATTGTTTAACAATCTGACATAACAGCATTCTAAGTCCCCCAAGAAGGCTGCTCACAGCAAAGTGGCAATCCTACTACAATCCAAATAACCCAGTTTCTTTTAATGGGGCTCTCTGTACAGGCAACACAAAGTTGTACATGGGTTTTTGAAGCCAGGTTATTTTGGGAAACAAATGAATCAAGTATAAGAACAACTGAGAAGGGCCCTGGTGGGGCAGTGGTTAAGAATCTGCCTGCCAATGCAGGGGTTCGATCCCTGATCGGGGAAGCTCCCACATGCTGCCAAGCAACTAAGCCCGTGCACCACAACTACTGAGCCTGAACTCTAGAGCCTGCAAGCCACAACTACTGAGCCCACGTGCCACAACTACTGAAGCCCATGTGCCTAGAGCCCATGCTCTGCAACAAGAGAAGCCACCTCAATGAGAAGCCTGCACATTGCAACGAAGAGTAGTCCCCTCTCACCCCAACTAGAGAAAGCCCATGCACAGCAACAAAGACCCAACACAGCCAAAAGTAAATTAATTAATTAATTTTTTTAAAAAAGAATGACTGAGAAAATGAAACAAATGTAAAAACCAAAGAACACTGCTTACCTTGTGATTCGAGGAAGTATTCGGTATTGAAAGAATTCCAGTGTTTTTTGTTTTTAAGGCAAGGAGAATCAAAATCCTGGCTGATCACATGAAGGTGTACATGGCTAGTTGAAAGGAAACAAAGATTGACCATTAAACCTAGCTTAATCAAAATGACAAAAAGTATGGGTATGTAAAATATTGATAGTGTTTCCATTTAACTCCACTCATTCATTCATTCACTTAAGACTATTTAAAGCAACCTAAATGTCCATTGACAGATGAATGGATCAAGAAGATGTGGTACATATACACAATGGAATATTACTCAGCCATTAGAAGGAACGAAATGGGGTCATTTGTAGAGACATGGATGGACCTAGAGACTGTCATATGGAGTGAAGTAAGTCAGAAGGAGAAAACCCAATATATATTAATGCATATATGAGGAATCTAAAAAAATGGTATAGATGATCTTATTTGCAAAGCAGAAATAGAGACACAGACGTAGAGAACAAATGCATGGACACTGAGAGGGGAAAGGGGATGGGATGAATTGGGAGATTGGGACTGACATGTATACACTGCTATGTATGGAATAGATAACCAATGAGAGCCTGCTGTATAGCGCAGGGAACTCTACTCGATGCTCTGAGGTAACCTAGAGGGGAGGGAAAACCAGAAGGGAGGGGATATGTGTATACATATGGCTGATTCACTTCACTGTACAGCAGAAACTAGCACAACATTGTGAAGCAACTATATCCTAATTAAAAAAAAAAAAAAAAAGACTATTTACGGCTCATTAAGTACCTACTCGGGCCAAGCACTGTACTAGCACTGGGAATTTAGCAGTGAACAAAATGGGAAAGGCCTATGCCCTTACAGAAATTATATTCTAATGAGGGGAGAGAAATAATAAATAAGTAAACAGATAAACAAGGAAAATTCAAAATGTTAACATTGCTAAGAAAAAAATAAAACAAGGAAATGGGATAGAGAGTGCCTGAGGGTAGAGGCTGCCTCTTTAAGTAGCTAGGGTGTCCAGGGAAGGCCTCTCCCAGGCAGTGATTTGAGCTGAGAAAGCAGTCATGAAAGCAAAGATCTGAAAGAGTG